GGAGAGTAGGGCTCGTTATCCTCCGGCTGTAAATAATTTCAATGTGATTATTATTAAACACTTAATCTTAATAACTAAATAAGAAAGATTAATTTACAAGATCAAGGATTTGACACTCTGGCATACGGAGGGCCCATGCCGGAAATTCATGGCTCAACTCGCGTTTAAGATCTTCTAGATAGATGTTGGCCGCCAGCTTAGGGAAACTAGAGCAGACGGAGATTCCAGGCATCGGCTTCACGAAAACAATAGCCCCTTTTCCCGCTGAGCCGATGGGGTTGGCTCCAATATTGCCGCAAGGAGCCGCATGTGCGAGCCTAGAAACTGAGGAAACAGTGGTAAGACCGAGGCGAGCTGCAGAGAGAGCTTCGCGAAGACGACGGCGCCAGTCAGCAAGATAGGTCAATAAACGACGGATAAGTTTGACGCGGGGATCTTCGTCAAGACACACTTGCTGTGACTGCTGATCAATGGCTTCAAGAAGACGTTCTAAATCACTTTCACGAGTTCTGTAAAGGAGTGTTTAAATAGAGAAATAAAAAAGGCAATTTTAAAGTGAAATAAAACAGATTCAGATAGCTTGAAGGAGTATAAAGAGCCGTATTAATAAAAATATTAAATAGCCTATGGTATAGCATACAAGACACTTTAGTGGGTATTCAATTATGAAAGATAAAATAAACTTAACCCTAGAAACTTTGATCAATTTCATAAACAAAAATAAGTTAACAAAACGGACAGAACTCAAAAGGACTAGGATTCAATGCCTAAGCTTTGAGCTAAACAAAATACGTGCTAAAATGTGTGATACTTATCCGGTAGGATAGTAATCCAAAACTGCAAACACTTTAAGATATAACCTATAAAATTTTCTAAATCAAACTAAATTAAGCATATTATACAAGATCTACAGGTAGTTTCAAAACCTACTCAGTACGAAAACATGTAATGTAAAAGATTGCAATAGAAAATACAAGTCTATTAAATTGACAATCCTAGAATAAAAATGCAATACGTGAAGAGCCTGGTTTGCGTTGAAATTTACGTCAGTCATGTGACCCACTGGGGTCTGTTACAGTGTGGCGTGGCAGAAATATGTCGAAATTATACGCTGCACTACCTGTGTTCAAATCACTGTTGAGAGTCGTGATGGGACCTAAGCGAGGTCATCCACTCTGGATGAGAATGACTTATGAGAGGCAATGCTAAGTGAAATTCAATTGCATTGTGAGGCCTACTCATTTCATTGTGGGAAAATTCAACTATCGGTCCTTCATCAGTTTATGCTACCTACAGTGAATACAGCTCTTATTCAATATATAATCGTAGTCTAGAAACCTACTAAATATGAATATAGATAACATTGAGACAAAAATCTAATTTTTCGTTTATAAGTAGTTTCGAGACTACCAGTAAATCAGCTACATGAGATGTATTCACCAGGACTGGTAGTTGAAATTTCCCAGAATGATATGAGTATATCTGAGGTTTCCATTCAAATTCACAGCGCCTTGCTCTCCCAAAAGGTGTTCTCATTCAGAGTGGACAATAGCTTCGGCCTCGCCTATGTATTATTAACACCCCCCGCGAGACTCGAACCATGACAGTGATACGTGTAATACCGACACGTTAACCACTATGCCACGTTGCCACAAGTGCCCTTGGGCCACAGAGCAGATGTGAATTTTAAGGAAGGCCAGGCATTTTCCCATATCACATTTTTTGTTGGGATTGTCGATGAAGCAAAGTTATATATTCTATAATAATCGTTCCAAAGCTATCAGTAAATCAGTTATATGAGATCTATTGACCAGATTTCGTTTAAAATGATGAAGGATGAACGAAATATGGTGAATATGTCTCATACAAAAATCTAACCCCAAAATGACTTCAAATCTAAAGGACTGATTTAACTAGTGAATCTTTGATTACGTTCAGAATGGTGAATCGAAGATATTAATAATTTGACCATACCGGAAATCAAGGTAGAATTGCCTTTGAATTGTGGTTGCTGGATTGCGCGGATTAGACCTCGACTCTCAGTCCCTTATTAATACGTACTGAGTTTCGGACTGCATAGCAGAAACGACAATAGTTCATGTTAAACTTAGCTCGTTCCAAAATTTACAGAGCTTAGTCACTAACAAATTTGTACATTGGTTGAAAGACATCGTCAGATCCGGAAAACATCATTTGCGAAAAAATTCAGCGAAACACTAAACTAAGAAAAGCAGCCGGCTGTAATCCTACTTATTTTTTGTCTAATTTTGCTACATTATTGAGATATCCCATGATCTGGTTCTCTACTTTATGCTAACCTTAGGTGCTTGTAGATTAGCCAAACTGATGTGTGAAAAGAAGAATATTATCACAGCATAACTAAACTAGCGTCATATCTTGTAATGCTAACGCGCATTTTACGTTTGTTGATGCATGTGCGCTGCGTAAAAATCTATTTAAATGTTAAGCCCAAACTATACTCCGGGTCGGTCAAGCTTCCTCTTACTCTGTCATTCATCCAGCTCTCTCCCTCGTCTTAATGCATATCTTTAATCGGCATGATTCCAATACGCAAATCACTCACCCCAACGTTTGTGGGTTGGCACACAAAAGACTAGGGAATAGCAAGTCATAGACTTGGTATTATAGATAGAAAGAGGATAAAAACAGTGAAAACTAGATATAATTGTTCATGTTCATGATCAAATACGTCTATTGTTAGCCAATTAGCTTTAGTCTCCACCGCGTCTTTCCTGTTTCTATCTGTAATACCATATCCATCGCTTCCTACGTCCTAGTCTCGTGTGTGCCAACCCACAAATGTTGTGGTTCTACTTGTTTTGATCAGGCTCACTGAAGACGTCTCCTCTTTGATTCCGATTTTTACTTTCTCGACCCATTGCGATCTCTTTTCCTAAAATTAAGGATATTACCTTGATGGAGTCGTCTTCTTTTCACTGATCTTAACGTTGCCTGGTTTTCTCCGAGTTTATTTAGGCAATATGCAAAGTTTTCGCTGATCCTGCCTTCTTCAAGTATCCTGTTCATTAGATTCTTCTCGGTCAATATATCTATGACCTCTCGGATCTTGCGTTTTCTCGTATTTTCACCATATACAGCTAGTCTTTCGGTCGATTTCGTGCCCCGTTTGTGCAATGTGTTTCGCTATTTCGAATCTTTTCGTATCCATGTTCCTGCAGAGTATCTGATGTTTCTTGATTCGTAGGCCGATTTTTTTTCCTGTTTCACCGATATACTTTTGTGCACAGTTGCCGCACTTGATGCGATAAACTCCCGAGCAAACAAAGTTTGTCCGTCTTCTCGTGTTGCGTCATCAAACTAATGAAAAGTGTTTTATTCTCCTTTGTATCACCTTAATATTCCAGTTCATTAGTAACGGTAGGAATTGATGGCTCAATTCTGATGATGGCAGCCAAATCCCTTTCTGGTCGTCCTCCTGATTCATAATCTGATTTTCATAAAATCCGAGTTGAAATCTGCCCTTTATGGCCTCTACATTTTTTTCTCTAAATTCTTTGGGATACAAGTTACAAAGGCAAACCCGTGTCAGTTTGTCCAACTCCTCGTCCCAATACTCAGTATCCGTTAGTCGTAAGCTTCTGATGATCAACCTCCTCAGTATTCCTATCTTCAGTCTGTAGTTATGGTGATACTGAAAATTAAGGATTATTACCGCATATGAATTGTTTCTGTATAGTCTCCTCATGTGTTCCTTCGTAGCGCATGACTTCAATATTCTGAAAGGGTAGTCGTTCATCCTCATCCACTTGTATTGTGTTAATAAAATTGAGGAATTCATTTAAATTTTCCTTACCATGTGACCAAATTCCTCTAATTTCAGGATGGAGGCGTGGTAAAGTATTTCATTAACCGTGTCCGAATGACACTTCCTCATTAGGTTGCAGAATCGAGGAGCGATACCAACCCACAAACGTTGTGGTTCAGTATTGAACCGAGTCAACGCAAGCATAGCCACAACATTTGTGGGTTGGCACACAAGAGAAGCCATAGACTTGGTATTAGAGATAGAAACAGGATAGACGCGGCGGCGATTGGAGCTAGTGGACTGACAGTAGTTTTTATAGGAGACATGGTCCATGCGGCAAAGGCCTGACCATGACACTTACTCACAGGCTTGAGCCTCGAATTAGTCAC